ATGTGGGGTGAGGCTGTAGTAACTGCTGCTTACTTGATAAACAGATCACCATCTTCTGTGGTGAACTTTAAAACTCCACAAGAGATGTGGTCTGGAATCAAACCTAACATTACTCATTTGAGACCCTTTGGGTGCACTGCCTATGCGCATGTGTCCCAAGGTAAGTCGGAACCTAGGGCAATTAAATGTGTAATGATAGGTTATCCTGAGGGTGTTAAAGGTTATAAGCTTTTAGTTATTAAACCAGGAGCTTATAAATGCCTTGTGTCCAGAGATGTTCTGTTTAATGAAGTTGAATTCCATTATAAGAAAACTAACACTCCTTCAAGTGAATTGACAGGTGATTTTAATGGAAACTTTTTTGATCCTCTGGAAAATGATGATCTGTCTGATGAGGATTATGATAGTGGAACTGTCCACAATGTCAATGATGATCATTCATTATCTGGGAATGATTTGAATGATTCATCTGAAGGTAATGTGAATCCTAATCATAATACAGATCAACAAGGTAATACCTCCCCCTCACTCAATGACTCTGAAAATCTGCATGATGTTCATGTTCAAAATGATATGCATATGTCTGATTCTTTAGATGCTTCATCAAATGAAAATTCTAATGACTTTGTTGAACCAAACTTAGCTGATAATCAACTAATAAGAGATAGAGAACCTAGGACAATTATTCCTAATAGGAGATATATGTCAAACCTTGCTGAGTTTGTGTTGCTAGCTTCGGAAGTAGTTAAAAACTATGTTCCTGATACCTTTGAACAAGTTGTTAGAAGTTCTAAGTCAAATGATTGGTTTAAGGCAATGCAAGAAGAAATGCAGTCCATGTTTGCAAATCAAACCTGGTCTCTGGTCCCTAAACCTAAGGGTGCTAAAGTCATAGATTGTAGATGGATTTATAGGATGAAAGATAGTCTTGATCCCACTGAACCACCTAAGTTTAAAGCTAGGTTAGTTGCAAAACGTTTTAAACAAAAACAAGGGATTGATTACCAAGATATTTTTGCTCCTGTGGTTAAATTCAAAACTCTAAGACTTTTACTTGCCATGACTACTATTTTTGACTGGGAACTTGAACAAATGGATGTAAATACTTCCTTTTTACATGGAGACATTAATGAAACCATTTATATGTCTCAACCACCTGGTTTTATTTGCAAAAATAAACCTGATCATGTCTGCTTGCTTAAGAAATCAATTTATGGATTATAACAGTCCCCAAGACATGTGTGAATTGGGATTTCTTAGAAGCAAATATGATACTTGTCTATACTTTAAGCATGTGGGCACTGGAAATGCTTTGTATGTTCTGCTTTATGTTGATGATATCCTTTTTATTGGTTCTTGTAAAATGTTGATTGTAAGTGTGAAAAATGATCTTAAATTGCATTTTGATATGAAGGATATTGGCACTGCTAAAAGAATTTTAGGAATTGACATATTAAGGAACAGATCTGAAAGAAGCATGTTTTTATCTCAATGTGATTATCTTTCTAAGATATTAGATAAGTTTAATATGTCTAATTCGAAAATGACACCTATTCCTTTAGGAGGGCATTTAGATTTACATAGAGATCCTTATCCTATATCTGTGGAAGAATCTAGAAAAATGGAAAATGTGCCTTGTGATGTTGCTTCTGGATCACTAATGTATGATATGCTTTGTACTAGACCTGATTTGGCTTTTGCTATAAGTGTTCTTAGCAGGTTTATGTCTGACCCTAGGGAAAGGCATTGGACTGCTATGAAATATACTTTGAGATACCTATTTGGGACAAGAAATTTAGGACTGAAGTACAATTATGACAAATCTTTAGACCTAAAAGGTTTTGTAGATGCTGACTATGCAGGGTGTAAAGACTCAAGGAAGTCTACTACTTCTTGGTTCTTTACATGAGCTGGAAATTGTATTTCCTGGAAGTCCTAGTTGCAATCTGTTGTAGCCCTGTCATCCACAGAGGCTGAATACATTGCAGCCACTAAAGCTTTTAAAGAAGCCGAATGGCTTAAGGGTATTCTGGGTGAAGTCTTAGAAAAAAATGTGACCCCTATCGTTTTTTTTGATAGTCAGAGTGCCGTTTATCTTTGTAAAGATCCCATGTATCATGAAAAATCTAAACACATAGATGTTAGATTTCATTATATAAGGGATGAAATTGCAAAGGAAAATGTGTCTATTGAAAAGATAACTGGAGATGTTAATCCTGCTGATTTTGGTACTAAAATTGTCCAAACTGATAAGTTCTTATTTTGCAGAAAATTCATTAAAATCTTTGAGGTGCCTTGAATTGTAGGTCCATGAATTGGGTTAATGATGAATGGAGTGAGACCTGGTTCCATATTCCAATCAGCTAGCAATGATGATACCTAAGGACTGTGATGACTTGAGAATGAGTCTTAGGAGGGCAAATTGTTAAGATTAGTAATCCAAATTCTCTAATTATTTCCTAAGTTTTACAATTTTAGATAGGATGGCAAAGCAATCAATTATTTGTATTATGCTATTGGGCTGGGCTTAGAACTTTAAGTGTTCTCCTTCCTTTCTTGGTCTCGGGTTATTTACTGGGCTGGGCCTCTTGGTAAACTGAAGCGCCGGTTTTATACATGGAGGACCCTATGTATATAAACCTCTTCCGTCTCCAGAGACTTCGGCTGATTCATTCTGAGCTATTTTCTAAAACCCTAGAGAGAGAGAGAGAGAGAGGTCGAGAACTTTGATAGCGTCGTTCCGCTGCTGGTTTTTCTGCGCGAAAGCCTGAGTTAACAAGGACGGTTAGAGAGAAAGGAGAAGGCCTGGAAATCTGAGGATTAAGAAGAAAGCTCTAGATGAGTTCCAGAACACGGAGCCCTGCAGTCTTCTTCTTCTGAAGCCTTAGGGTTTAATTCGGTTATCTATGAACTTTTTCTCTTATTTGTTTCTTGAGTTGTATTCCTGACCTATTGCATGTTCTGTATCTTGATTGCTTTGCAACCATCTTGATTGTAAACTGTTTTTGTCTGAGCTAGTGGAATATTGGGACCGGGTTTCCCCTCTTAAAACCCCGCAGATTAGGAAGATTTTCTTCTGAACTGCGTCAACATATCGTGTGTCTTTTACTTTTCTTGTTGCGTTTATTGCATGTGTTAAGTTTGAGATCCGATGTGTTTGACTGTTGACTTTGATTAGTCTGCGAACAATAAATAACACTCTTAAGTGATAATTTAATCATCAAATATTGATAACATTATAGTTACCATCAATGGTCTCATCAAATCATATACATATAAAAAAGCATTCAAATTATATTCAAATTATCTCATTTAATTGTTTTGTCATGGAAACCTTAGGTCGATCATATATAATAGTTAAACTTTTTTTTAAAATAATTAATAACCTGTTTGGTAGCACTGGAATTGGCTTAATTGGTTTATTCTGCTGAAATTTGTGAATGTCTCGCTAGAGTTAAATTGATTGATTCTACTGATTTACAGAAAAAATTTATTTAAAATATTAAATTAATAAAATAAATAAAAAATTATATGAACAATACCTGAAATAGTACTATACAGTAACTTCAGCTAATACAAGCAGAAAGTTAACTACAACCTTATTTTTTCTTATTATTACACAATTTAGCAAGTGAAATTAAAATTACATATTTGATAAAAAAAATAATCGATAAGCCGAAAAATAGGGCCACTAAACCGGCTCTAAGCTTGCGGTCATTAAAATTAGGGGAAAATAATTAAAATACCCCAAACTTTGAAGTAGTGTGAGATAAACACCCGAACTTTCATATGTAATTTAAATACCCCAAACTTTATATAAAATGTTAATTTAACACCATGGTTATGTATGATTTCTTTCAAAAATATAAATTTATGGTGTTAAATGCGTAATTTAAAATAACAAATTGAAAACATTATAATTATACATAGTGGTGGGTAATACTATTTATTTTACAATGGATGCTTTGAATGTTTATTGTATCTTTATGAATGCTAAAAATTATCAAATTATGAAATGAACATAAAAAATTAATACTTTTGAAAGAAATAATACATGACCATGGTGCTAAAATAACTTTTTATATAAAGTTTGGGGTATTTAAATTACATATGCAAGTTTGGGGTGTTTATCTCACAGTCCTTCAAAGTTTGAGATATTTTAATTATTTTTCCCTTAAAATTACTACCCCCGTCCCGCTATGATTGTCTCATTTTACCTTATCGGTTCATCCAAATAAGATTGTCCCATACCAAATTTGGTAAAGTTTGTGTGCCTCTAAATCATTCTTACTTTATTCTTACTTTAACAACTCAATATCTACCGTATAAACTACTTTTTATTAATTCGTTAATAGGATGTAGGGAGTATAAGCTTGCCGCAATAAAGAGTAGTACTCCTTCTGTCCCTTAAAACTTTGTCATCTTTCCTTTTTGGGACGTCCCAAAAAACTTTGCCACTTTCTTTTTTAATCAATTATTTTGTGGTTTCTGTTATTTCTTTCTCCTCTGCACAAACCTCAACCACACAGTTTTTACTTTATTATTCTCCGTGTCGGTCAACTTTGGCAAAGTTTTAAGGGACGGAGGTAGTACTCCCTCCGTCCCTAAATTATCTTCAAACTTTCCTTTTTCGTTCATCCCAAAATTATCCCCTCTTCCCCCTTTTAGCAAAAAATTTGTGGTTCACAACCATTCTTACATATTCTTACACATTTCTCTCTCCTCTGCACAACTCTCCACCACACAAATCCCACTATCTTAACTTTTTCACCAATTTTTTTAAAGTGAGACAATGCAAGCTAGGCACTTTGTGTTGGGGTCAAACTTTAAAGACTCCCTTATGATGCAATACGTAGTGTTACGTAATAAGCAGACGTCGTAATTGTAAAAGAAAGTAAAAAGTCTGAGTAAAACTGAAAGTCTATCTCGAGACATGAATAGAATATTTTGATTTATATATTTTGTACTTTTAAATATATTAAAGAAATGAATAGAAGAAATGTACGGATGAACGTCGCCTTGCTATTCACGTTCCCGCCGGGTTTTACTACACGTTAAAAAGCTGTGACTGAGAGAATTCAAGGCCTATTATCCATTATCACACCATTCCCTCTCTTCACTTCACAATCATTGTCCTTTTCCCCCAACGCCGGAAAATCCACCGGAATCTCGCCGGCCACCGTCCTTTTTTTGTTCTGGTACACCATCTTTTCAGATTTTCTCACCCCACTTTCACCTCTTTTCTCTTCCTTTCTCTCTCTCTCTGTCTTTAAGAATATTCAATCTGTTTAATTGTTTTAAAAAAGATTGCTTTTTAGTTTAACTAAGTGTCTTGATTGGCTTTCATGTTTCATTCCTGGGAAAACAAGTTTCAAGGTTTTGGATCTGCCTATGTATTTTGCTTCTGAAAATGACAGAAACTAAAGTTGTTATGTCCTTAATTAGGGTTTTAGTCATTTTCTTTCTTTCTATATTTTCTTTATTTTATTGAAGTGTTTTACCCTTGTTTGCTTGGTTAAGATTCCTCAGTTTCTTGACTAAAGCTTCAATCTTAAAGCTCATAGACCATTCTTGGTTCAATTTTTCTTTAAATTAAAACTTGGGGAGAAGATCAATGTTTTGGATTTAGATCAGAATTGGGTTTCTTTGTTCTTGTGTATTTGTTGTGAAGAGGTCAGGTTACTTTAACACTGTAAAACGAATTCTTATTTTTGGATCTTGAGAAAATTAATTTTGATGGAAATATTTATAAAGAAAGTCGCAATATTAATAGATACGGAGTATACTTTAACCAAAAAAAACAAAGAACGAAAATACGGAGTATCAAGGATGGTGACATTAGTTTTGTTTTAGTAAATTATTACGTTGTACTGTATTATACATCGTATAACAAAAACCCAGAAAATTAAATTACGAGGCAGTTTATTTTGTTATGTTTGGCAGTATTTCGAAAATCACAGCTAATATAAATCAACAGAAGTTGTTGTTTTCTTACTTTTCTTGGCGTGTTTAGATTTAGTATTTATTCTGATAAGAATTTATTAGATAAATAAATAAAATGAGTTTTAAAATAATATTTGATGTAAATGTGACATTGCATTGCTGTACTTTCCAAATTTTTATTTCCGTGCAGTTATTATCAACGGAGTATATTTTCCTACTTAAGGCATATTTGGATGACAGGAACCCCTAGAGAACGAAAAGACAATCCAAGGACAATTATTCTCTTCTGCTTCTTTCTTTTTAAAGAAATGCAAATTAGTAATTATTCAGCTATTTAAAAAAAATCATAAATTAGGATTTTTAAGTTGAAATTGATCTCAGAACATATTTAGAAGAGCTTGTCACCATAAAAGAAATAGCAAGTGTTTGAGTCCTTTCACTATAATTTTTTTTCCTTAATTTTTTTGAATTTTTTCTAGGTCCAATCACATCCCTATAGTTTACCATTTTTCTTTCCCAGTTTTATTTAAATTTCTCCCTACTTGAAAAAACCAAATAAGTGACTTAAAATTACTAACTTACTAGGTATAATTTTAATCAGCATGTATGGTTGTCGATAAAACTGCCCACAGTATGAGTGAAATCTGAATCAATATTCACAAATACGACTGGCTGTGTTTTATTTTCAAAAGATCAGTTATTTAGTTATAATAACAGGCAAAATTTCTTCTTTGAGAAGTAATGATGTCCTATTTTGGAAAAAATGATAATCTCCAAGTGAAGTGTTGTTTTTTATCCTAATTATGGTTTTTTATCTTGTCTAATCTCTACAAATGTAAACTTGTAGTAACAGATCTTATACAGGATTGTATGTTTTGATCTAATACAGCAAAGATGCTGTCTTGGAATGCCTCATTACTGTTTGTTAATATTGTTGAATTTTTCAATAGGATTACCAGGAGCAATATGCTGAAGAATCATCAACAGCAGGCCAGGCCTGCTTTTATATAGTCTTGCAGACTGGTCATTGAATTACACATATAGGATGGAGGCAAGAAGCAACCATGGATCAGGATACCATGTCTTGGAGCAAAGCAGGCGAGAAAAGTTAAGGAACCAAAACATTTTAACAACACAATCGTCGCACCATTTGGTAGGTGGAGGAGGAGACTGTCGCCCGAATTTAGAGCAGTTGTCATTACACCACCACAGCCTGTTAAACGCGGATCAACAACTCCCTGATGGTGGTTGGCGTTACGGGATCGTCCCGTGCGATTCCCCATCCATTTTATCCTCAGAAATGCTATGTTTTCCTCCAAACCCTCAGCTGCGAAGGGACGATCACTCCCAAATGCTGATTCAAGATTCATCTACGACAAGCAATGCTGCTCCAAGGTTTGGTAAATTTGTCGTCGACAAGGGAGAATTTACCAACACGTGGAAAAACATCGAGTCACATTGGAAAAACATTGATGCCAATCTCACTCCAATGTTTGGATATCAAGAAATTCAAGATACTTCACATTTGAATTACCCGAATGCCCTTCAAGAAGTTGTAACTTCTGCTTCTGCTTCTTATGTTGATCACTCTAGCCAAACCTTTGTCAATGCCCAACATCAACACCAACACCAGCAACAACAAGCATTGTCTTTGTCACTATCATCTGCCTCGCCAACCAAACCTTCATATTTAGGGCATCATAATATGAGTAATGTTTTGACTTTTACACATCGAGACTTGGTCCCGCTCGGGCCATTCACGGGTTACGCGGCGATTCTTAAGAGTTCGAGGTTTCTAAAGCCAGCCCAACAGCTTCTTGACCAGTTGTGCCATTTTGATGGCAACAAAGAACTTGTTGATAACATGTCTGAGGTTTGTGGTAATATAATCGAAGAAGAAGTTGATGATGATGTCAATGTGGCTCTTCCATGTAGTGGTGGATCTTTGGCTGTTGATTCGGGTGGTTCGTCTTCGACATTGTATAGTTCGAGTGTGAAGAGTCATGAGTTCAGAGATTTGGGTGGCTCTAATGAGGCCTACAAGAACCAGCCTGAGTTTTTGCAAAACAAGATCAAGCTCTTGTACATGCAAGATGAGGTTAGGTTCTTGATTTCTTTTTGGCTAATTTTTAATGCATTTACACCATTCTAAAATTCCCAACATATCATTAATTATTAAATTATCAAAATATGGAATGTTCAATCTTCAAGCAAATAGAATTTTATTCATTTCACATATGTAAATGAAAACCTTTTATACATTTTGATTCACTGTTTATCCCTATGTCCCTATGTGTGTAAATGAAAACCTTTTATACATTTTGATCCACTGTTTATCCCTATGTCCCTATGTGTATGAATGGACATGGGTAGATTTCTTCACTGTGCATTGCAATATAACTCTTCTTTTGGAAATTTCAAATAAAAGCATATCATTGTATTTTAAAAACAGGACTGCGACTGTTTAACTATACAAATGAAATTACGTAGTACGAGTATTAATTATCTTTGTTCTCTTTTATTGATGTGATTATATTTTCTTTTAATATGTCCTATTTTTTAATAGAAATCATAACAAATCCAATTAGAAAGGTTGTGTCACGTTTTAATCTCACTTGTAACTAATACTCCCTAATTTGATTTAATCACGTAGTAATTTTCATTAAATTTGATTTTTATTGTAAAGAATAAAGTAAAAAAAGTACTCCCTAATAGTTATACGTTTAACGTAGTATAAACTAGGAGTTTTTTTATGTTGTATAAACTAGGAGTATAAAAATGTAACTTATTAAAACTGATTATTATTGATAAAAAAATACTCTTGTTCCACCTAAAGGTTTACACACAGTTTACGATCTTTGACTAATACCTTACCAACAAAAATTAAATTTAATACGTAGTAAAAGTTAGATTTGCTATAAGCTTTTATAGAGTTTAATCTTTTAAATGTATTCAGTATAACTGTGTAAGCTTTGCTTCGATCAAAGCTGTATATGATTATTGTGGGTAACATTGGACTGCTGAAACTGTGTCAGCTAATTTCAGCCCTCTCTGAGTCTAAATAGCTGGACAAATTTTAGGCCTAGAACTGCTGGACTTTATTCTTCCACCTATCATATTTTATTTAATTATATAAATACTGTGTTTGTGAATTTAAATACTCCCTTCAGTCCGTATTAAAGTTCTCACTTTCCTTTTTTGAATGTCCCTTATTTAAGCTCACACTTCCATTGTAGGAAACAAAATAGTGCAAAACAATGCTAAACAGTGTCAAACTGTTCACTCCACAGTAAAATCAAATTTATTTTCTTAATCTGTGTGAAGTTAAATTGGGAACTTTAATAGAACCTTTCACGGTATTTCTAATATCCCAATATAATGGCATTATGACAGCCTTTCCCTTGCTCATCTTTCTTTAAAATAAAAATTCCAAATTAATAGAGTGGAAGAGACGGACTGCATGCAGATATGTACAGTTGATGTGGACACGGACTAAACAGTTGATTTGGACAGCTTGTGTACAGTGTATATAAATGTACTCCGTATAATTCTGCTTAAATAAAAAATACTCCGTATTTTTTGAGTGTAAAAGAATTAATATTGTCCATTCATTTATTGAAGTGAAAGATATGCTAAAGTTTTCAACCAAAAATCGACGGCAACAATAAAAGCAATACTAAAAGCAAATTATTTTAACTTAAACGTTCATTAGTTGTGGAACCAAGTTTGAATGAATAAAAGTGTAAAAACAATTTGAATCAAATCGACGGCAACATTAAAAAAAAAATCATTCAAAAATATTGCTACGTATTAAAACAAAAAAATACGATAAAATTTACGGAGTATTAGGTATATAGTATCATAATAATCACTTAAATTGAATACAGGTTAGTATGACTGAAGTTACCATTACAATTAGTCATCACATTTAAAAGTTTACATTTTTGTAAACTCTTTATTTTAGTCATTAATAAATTTGTAATTATTTCTATTATATTATTAATTGAGGAATAAGTAGTATTTTTAGTAAATGTTAGGCATTTGAGTTTTATTTAAATGACGCGTGTTTTGAATTACTAACAACTAATTATTTGACAATTGAGGGTTGAAAGATAAATTATGAGTGATATGTATATGGATGAATGATTTTAGTTCTTCTCTTTCACTATGGATCAACCAATTTTTGTGTTCCTAAAAATCCATTCAGATCCAGCACCATTTGGATTTAAATACAGGTAATCTCAAAGATTATTCATTTAATAGGCTGAATCAAATCCATTCAGATCCAGACACACGTACTTAATAAAATGACTTACAAATTACAATAGTTGTAATTTAATTCATATTAGAAAAATGAAAAGTTATATATATAAGTAGTAATAAATGAATTAGAAATGCCTACATTCTTTACTGCTTATCATTTATTAAGCTAATCTCACTATACAGCTGATAGAATTCTTGGCATGCAGATATTTAGAGTTGATATTTATTGACATCTGAAATGTGTTGAATTTTGCATGATTCTATATAAAAGGTTAGCAGAAGGTACAGACAGTATCACCAACAAATGCAAATGGTGGTGTCATCTTTCGAAAGCGTGCCCGGGCTTGGATCAGCCACGCCATACATCCCGCTGGCTCTCAAGTCCGTCTTGCGCCAGTTCCGTTCTTTCAAGAATGCAATCTCCCACCAGCTCAAAAGCATCCGTAAAGCGTTGGGCGAAGACCGTACCAGCAGCAGCAGAGATCATCATAGTAATCCCACTGCTGGAGGAGGAGGGGGGAGATCGACAAACTTAAAACTCGTTGATCCGAATGCCCGTGGTGGTGGGGAGCGTTTGCCCCGCTATTTGGAGCCTCCTCAGACGCACATTTGGAGGCCCCAAAGAGGCTTACCTGAACGAGCTGTGGCTGTGCTTAGAGCATGGCTCTTTGATCATTTCCTTCACCCGTGAGTTCGATCTCATCTCCCTCTTTGGTTGTATGTCCCAATACTTCTTATATTTCGATTGGAATTTCCATATTTATTTCACTCTAATATCAATATCGGGGTAACGAGAACACCATTACAACGATAACAAATGAAAATATATCTAAACTATTAGTAATATCAACGATAACGTGAAAATACATCCAGATTTTTGCGATATCGATATTGAAATATCCCGTACTATTTCCATGTGTTCAAAGAAACTATATAAATATTATAGATGCTAGCTAGTTATATAATCTAATACATTGTTGTGTAGGTATCCAACAGACACTGATAAACATATGTTGGCTGCCCAAACAGGATTAACTAGGAACCAGGTAACCCCATTGTTCCCTTCACTAGCTACAATAATGTTGGTTAATTTCTTATTTTGACATCGCAAAATGATCGTCTTGTTTCCCTTTTTATGAGAAGTTCTAATTTACTCCCTCCGTCTCCTTTTAAATGTTCCATTTTATCGTATTGGGATGTCCCTATTTAATTGTCCCATACCTTATTTGGTAAAGTTTGTGTGGCTCAAAATCATTCTTACTTTATCTATTAATATCAACCACACAAACCTATTTTTCTTAAAACTCGTGTCACCCTCTTCCAGGACATTTAAAAGGAGACGGAGGGAGTATATTGTTATAGGAAAAGTTAAACTATTCATATATATGATGATGGTTTTGGACGGTGATTGTAGGTTTCAAACTGGTTCATCAATGCTCGAGTTCGTGTTTGGAAGCCAATGGTGGAAGAAATACACACCCTAGAGACTAAAACACTGGCAGAAAATGGTCAAAAGGATGGAAAAGTCGTTGACGGTCAAATAGCAACCAAGAGCAATATCAGTCAACCAAATGAAGATCGGCGGCGGCACCCGAATCGGCTCGGCCTCTCTAACGACGAAACCCTTTTCTTAACCAGACGGCCGGAAGAATGCCCCGCCGGGAACAGCCAATCCCCGGGTTCCCTGATCAGGGAACAACCCTATCATGACACGTGGAAGAACCAAGACAAACGGTCAAGGATCGACTTCGGTCTTCCGGTTGGTATTGACAACAGACCGTTCATGGCGGCGGGTTTCACGCCTTACCAGAGAAACGGTCTTGAAATGGGCGGCAACGGCGGGCTGGGAGCAGTTTCGCTGACCTTGGGTCTCCGGCAAAGCATTGAAGGCGGCGGTCAACATGATAGTCAACTTAGGCAGGGGTTTGGTGGTCGGATAATCCATGACTTCGCTGGGTAGTTAAATAGTGTGGGAGTTAAGGTAAGGAAAGGTTATTGATGAAAGTCTTTATTGTCACATTTTGAAGAAAAAATTGTTCAAACCTATCTTTAAAAGTGTTTTTTTGTAAAATTTTGGGGGCTACTACGACAAAAGAAAACGTGAAAAGGGAATTAACTACAGAAATATCTATATGATTATATATCCTTTTTTTTTGGAACAAGGCGCTTTAAATTGATATCAAATTAAAGCATTCAGCAAGAGAACAAGAAGATAATAGAACTACTTTCAATCACCGACCCTCGAATCAGCCTAAGAGCCAATCATCATAGAAAAAGAAATATGGATCGGTGATCCTGTAATGAGTCTAAATGAGCCTAACGTGGTTAGATTAAATCTTTCATCATCCCAACCTAATGCAAGAGTCTGAATGAAATAAAAATAGTAGAAAACAACGATGAAAAGTGTTCATGCCTAAAAAACTCAAAAAGAGAAACGAAATTAAATAAAATAAACTGACAGAGCAAACGAATCCATGCTTCAAACATCATTTTCGGCGGTGGCTCCCGGGGCGGATCTGGGCCAAGGCCAGGGAGGGCCAAGGCCCATGCTCAAAAAAATATAATTACTACTATTTATTATGTATATATTAATATATAGTGTTTCATTAGTTATGGTAAAATAGTAGCTAATGCGGATTAGTGGAAAATATTAACGCTGGCTTGATGGAAGTATATTGAGCATCTAACAAAAGGAGTTGGGTTCGATTCTCTTGGACACCACATTTTTTTAAAACACTATCCAAATTTTGTAAGACTAATGTTTAATGTTTTATATTTTTCAGTCCAAAATTTCTTTGCCCTTTTGAAGAAGAGACGGATTATTTCTTTTAAAAAATTAATAGTTCAAATCATTGGAATTTTAAATATTAGCGTGAAAAACTAATTAGGTCAATTTAATGGGCTTTTGGTTATTGGCCTGAAAAATTGATTAATTCAATTCATTTGGCTTTTGAATATTGACTTAAAAATTTAAGTTGTTCGATTAATTAAAACTTTGAATATTAGTCTGAAAAATTAATTAGTTCAATTCATTGGACTTTTGAATATTGATCTGAAAAATAAACAAGTTCAATTGATTGTACTTGATGAGTGAAATTTAATTAGTTTACTATTTAACCTTTTTTACATAGAGCACAGACTATGGAGTCAAAAGGAAATTGATTTTCGAGAAATCAATTTGAAAATTGGTACTGAACATTCCAGTAACCTAGCCAATTTCGATTCGGTATCTATGACTCTTTTAGGATGATTATTTTGTCGGTTCTGTAATATTTTTTTGTTTGACTTTGCTGTAATATTATTTAACTACATTTTGTCATTTTGACATTTTTTTGCAATATACGTTACGTAGATTTTGGCCCCACCTCAATGCAAATGCTAGATCCGCCCCTGGGTGGCTCAGGAGGGAGATGGTTTATCAACCCTTCATCTTGAAATATTCCCTTCAAACCCACCACCACAAATTCCAATGACATCTCCTTAACCCCTTCGATTATAGCACGAGTGAACCCGGAATCCATGCTTAATGGAGTCTCCCCAATCGAAACCAGTAGCACAAGCGAGGAGACCATAACCCGAGCAAAAACAGCTCGATCCAAATATGCTTATGCCTGCTTACCCTCCAAAACGCCCGAGTCGATGCCCTGCTGCGTTCGAAACCTCCCAAACTCGTCGATCAACAACCTGCGGCGCAGCAGTCCACCAAAGCCCGTGATTCCTTCTCAAAGCACGCAAGTCCAGCTGAAAAACCTGCAGAATGATAGAAAAAAGGGATACCAACGACTGGAACAAAGGAATCCGCCGAGACAGAATCCAATTTGTCAAAGAAACCGGCGAAAAACTCAAAAGCTAGGGAGACGACCGCCAAATATCTATATATCTTAAAAATGGGATTGATAGCTTGCTTGAAATGTTGCAAGTAAATCATAAATGCATGAAGTCCATAATTTTTGACACAATGCAAAAGGATGGACAATCTCCGGGTTGAGAAACGGAGCTTAAACCACAACTTTTCAAGTTGTGATGTGTGAGCTCCACAAACATTATCCTACCTCAACTAAAATGAAGTCATTTAAGTTTAAATTTAAATTGTGTTTGTAAAATATACTTCTAGATAAGTTGAAATGTTAATGATATGTACGCAAATTGTAACTCGCTGAGTCAAGTCTAATAAATGGCTTTAACAAGAATATAATTTGAGATGAGTCGAAATGTAAATCATATAATTGAAATGTAATTTGAGGGAAAGTAAAATGTAAATAGTGTTAGGTGAAAATGTAACTAGAGACAAAACGAAATGTAAGTTGTCTAATATAAAATACGAAGTATATAGTTTGAAAAATTGTTGCAAGTTTTCAAATACAAATATAAGTTTTTATTTTAGATTAAAAAGAATTCATTTTTGGATTGATGGAGGGAGGAAAAACTTAAGTTTATTTTGTAGATGAAGAAAAATAAGATTGCGGTTAAATTATTAATATTTTGATGAAAAAAGAAGATAAATGAAGAAGAAAAAGAAAATAAGAAGAAGAAAAAGAATTGTTAAGGAGACACAAATAATTGTAAAGGAAAGAAAAAATAAGAAGAAAAAAACTAGGGAAAGAGATGCCCATGAAGATTGACGAAGAAAGAGAATAGACGGTATTTAGATAAGTATACCATGTGCATGATATAACGGTATGACGGTACAAATTGTACAAACCTTTAGGGTGTAAATCTGTCACAACACGGTATACATGTAAAGGAAAGTTTGTAAGTGTTTGATTTTATACTTTTATTACAACTAAATGATTTGTTAGTAACATTATAAAGACAATCCTTTTGAATTTAGTTTTTTTATGAAATGTAAATATATATGTTAAGGTCCAAAAGTATCATTTACAATGTGTGCAAAAACATAGTATGATCCACATAGAGGATATTATAACACATTTCAAAATAATAGGGCAATATCTACATGATGAAGATGTCTAGTAGGCTGAAAATTACAAAATATAAGGTGATGGAAACAACAAAAAATCCCAAATTAGAAATATATTATCTCAGGATAAATATTATACATGATAGTGTATAATACATGTTTGATCTTCACAATAATGTCATCTTCCTTGGGTGATACACATCAAATCTCATAGCATTTGGTGTTCCCCAAATCTAATAGATGGTGGAGTAAAAAGATATTTCTATTAGCTTGGATCTGACCCGTGCACTAATGTATGCTTTCCTTATCCATTTCCCTAATGATGACTAACCATTCCTTGATGTCGCTCTAAACCTTGCATGTAGAAGGACAAAGGAAAATAGTTGTATAACTTTTGCTGGGTCACCCTTATAGAAACACGTGTGTTAATCAATACCAAATATTTTAGATTTTTGAAGGTGGCAATGCTATTTCTAAAGGCAAGCGAAATGGTGAGCGAATACTTAGGAGGAATTTAAACTTTCTAAGTGAATGTCATCCATGTCCTCTTGTGTGCGGAGTAAATCAAACCCTTTGGAAGATGATAATTTTTCACCCTCACAAATGGTGTGTGTAAGGTGTATCAAAGAATCACTGCAACGGAATTAATGCACAAACAATGGTATTGAATGAAACAGAGAAGTAGAATGATCTATTAGAATTATATTGAGTGCTTATAGAGTAGATAGATCAGTTCTCTCAATGTGTCCGCGGAGCTCTCTGTCTTTAGGAACAATGCAAATGATAATCGACTCCACTCTTAGTCAACTAGGTTGGGATGCATACACATATGCGTTGATGTCCCAGCATTGTTCACGATCACATATGCTGATTTAGTTAAGTGACATTTCACTTTTATTTTGTTAATTAAATATAAATACAAATTAAATACATAATGGGCCAATAGATGAAGGCCCGGCCAATAACAAAAGTGTTATTTAAATTACAGGACATGCAATAATAAATTATACACAATAAAAGATTCTTAATAGTTTGTAAAGATCCAATGGCTTCTAAAACACTAAAGAATTGGAGTAAGATCTAGTCTCTAATCATGGCAAGATGCTTCATTAATTGTGAGTCTCAAGAGTGTGGAGTATAACCCCACACATCTCCACCCAGAAGATACACACTGTGCACCCATTTGATCCATAGAATACCATCCTTTCCATGAATATTCCAAAGGGTGCGTGCCAGAGGGCCATATTCCACACCTTTTTGTCTCAAATGTCCAAAACTCCATCAGCCCATTCCAACTTTTGTGTATCTTTCTCAACGCTCTTTGGGGACATAAGGCCATAATTGTGTCCAACGCTCTTTGGGGAATAGAAAAGGTTTGCAACAAAAAGGATTGAACAATACAATGTATTGAAGAATAATACAACGTATGAATTCAATTAGATCAACGTATGACAGAGTTTTAGAGTTCCAAACATTGAAGAACTTTGTGACTGTATCAAATAAAGGGACATACCGAGTCACTGACATCTTAAGTGGGGCAAGCAGGATACCAAGATATATCGCTAGGAAGCTTCCTTGGCCAAAGTCAATAAGGTCCAATGTATTGGAAAGTTCATAACCAGGAATACCCCTAAGAAGATATGTGATTTCTCATGGTTCCACTCTAAGTCCCGAGATATCCCTAAATTCCTTAAGGCAATCCAGAAAGATCCTAATAGACATAGTGTCCCCTCTGGAAAAAACATCAAAGTGATATGTGTATGCCAAATGAGTACTCAAAGAAGCACAAAGGGGATGATAATAAAAATAAGTGCTTGTTTCAAGTTTAGGGAGTCTCCATAGATAATATAATCATAACACAAATAGGAGTGGGGACATTAGATCACCTTGAAGCAAGCCCAATTTTCCGGTGAAAAACCCCTGGAGTATTCCATTTAGTGACAAAGAAAATGAAGCTATGGAGATGCACTCCATAAACCATGACACAAAATGCAGGGAAAATCCAACGTCATGAAGCACTCGTTCAAGGAAGTCCCACGAGATAGTATCACAAACTTTCCAATGATCCACCTTAATCATGCATCTCGGGAATATCCTCTTGCGTGTAGTGTGTAACCATGAACAAGCTCTTGTGCCAGGAAGATGTTATCAAATATAATACTCCCATCAATGAAGGCACATTATGATGGTTCAATGATGGGAGATTTCCAAAAATAGGAGTAATCGGAGTTTGGAATTCCA